AATTTTTTTTTCTTGCTTATATTTTTTTCTTTATTTATTTTTGTATAAAATTTAATATATGTTCCACAAAAAATATAGTCTGTGTGATGAGATGAATATACATATATATTCATCGAAATAAACTGTGAAATTTTTTCTATCCTGGTCTACCACGGCACCAATTGTGACATCCCTGAACAGCACCATTGTGACATTAAAATAAAAAATGGCTGACTGTTTTTCTGTGACGTCCTCGCTTGTTCGGGTGTCGCTGCTCCAAACGTGACATCCGCCTGTCTGCGTCAGTCGTGTTATCTCGTCCTGTGACGACCAACTGGCTTGGTATCGGTCGCGGCATCCAAATGTGACGTTCTAACTTTTTTTGGTGATTCGGATGGGAATCTGGTTAGATTTGATATCAGCCTCGTCGTTCCCCAACTCGCTTCCAACGCCTGGTTACCAAGATAACTGCAAAGATCTCCAGTTTTTTTACCCACGTTTGTGAATTGATCTTAGGCAGACGAGATCAATCAGTAGTTGGGGCCGTAATGCAAATCGAGTTCAACGGGGTGATATCCCACAAATATGCATAAAAGAAAATAAAATGAAAACTCAAAAGTTCAAAGTATCAAAAAAAAAAGGTAACAAATATTTTTATGTCTAGTTGTCCGATACATAGGACTGCATCTATCTCCCGACCCGTTCTATGGATTGTGACACGTTTTTTTCCGTTAGGCAAGTTTTAACGCTTCAAGTTGTTTGCTCTCTAAGAAATTGGTTTTTGGTGTGTCTTTGGACGAAAATAAGTGTAAAGGAAAAAAACTTATTTTTGGTGGTCTGGATCTAAGTCGATTTCTTCAAAATAATTGTTCTTGGGTTGAAGAGGAGTCCGGAATTTGTGTGAATCTTGGTCATTATCTAAGGCGGCTTCAACTGGAGACTGACTCTTCGCTGCAACTCCAACTCGAACTGAGACTCAACTCAAAAAACTCAACTGAACTGATTTTGCTTGCTGTGGCTTTGCTTATATGGACGCCGACCAAAACCGGGGGGGGTTGTCGGTATGGGGGGTTTCTTGATAATTCTAAATACATATCCACCTCTCTGGTTAAGAATTTCCACTTTTTTTTCCAATTTTTTTGAGAACCTTTCCTTACTCCCACCTTCTCACCATACTTCAGAGGGGCGTGAACTTATTTTAATTTGAAAATGTAGCAGCTTCTCATACCTATACTCTGGATGTGAAAAACAGCCTCCTTCCTGCGTCACGTGATCACCACTCGATCAATGATGTCTTAGTTGGTTTTTGGATAATCCGCGGTTTTGTTTCAGGAAAAAAAAAATATCTTGCTTAACTAAAAATTATCTTTTCTTTTCCTCTTCTTCCTCTAGTTAAAAATGGGACAATATGAACAATGGCGGTCATAACTCTTGTTCTACACGTGATCTTCGTCAGGCATTTTATCGCTAATTATCAAGAAATGGGTGGTCTTTTAACACGACACAAACGTATGCCCGAAAAAAGACATTTCTAAATTCCCATTCATTTCCCTTCGTACATATTTCTGATAACATAATTTTATTATCGCAGGCCAAAGATGTTATTTCGAAAAAAATTGCTTTTCATCATGATCAGGGGACATTTTCTTGTGTGGCTTTTAATTTTTTTTATCGAAATAACATTTTCATTTGATTTTTTTTTCTTTGGCTACATTTGGCCAGCAGTTTGTTTACGTATCCCTAGATAACACAGCCGTTGCCAAAACACACCTGACTCCCCATCCCTCAGAACTTCCCTGTCATTGTAATGACACTTTTCGCCATTTGTTACTTATCAGAATATCCTTCAACCATTGTCTCTTAATATGGGTTGTTCTGCTTATCATCCACGATTAGGTCCTTAGCCTCTCCTTTCCTTCTTTTCTTTCTTTTCTTTTTCTGCCTCGTTAAATGGTGCCACATAAGCACAACTGACTATTAAAGGATGAAATACTATTGGATTTTGACGTCATTCTGGGGTCTTTTTTGTCCAAATCTGTGAATTTATTTTGCTCATGCTAACTCTTGAAAAAACACTACATAAAAATTCATTATTTTTTATCCATAATGTTGAATGTGTTCAAATTATTCAACTTTCTAGTAAGAAAAATCTCAAGTTGATGTTAAAAATTGCCACAAAACATTGTTGATTTATTCAAGATGGAATGATCTATTATGACATGTCTCTAATTTGTATTTAGATACATTGTATTTATTTTCAATTTTTCTAGTTGAATTGTTCACTTATACTGCATATAATCCATTATTGTACATATTTAGGTAGGTAACTCCACTGAATTTTTTAAAGCTAAGGTATAAAATGAATTTTTAAAAATGAAAAAGCATATTGAATATTGAAAGCAAATGATTAAATTTACTATTTCCAGTAAGCAAAATACTTTGGTGTATTTCAAATAGAAATTATATAGATTAAAATCTCAACTTTTTGCTTGCTTTCAGAAATCATTTAAATTCAGTCATTTTTGACACATTTGTAGACAAAGATTAATTCTCAGTTTTAAAAATCTTCCAAAAATAAAATATACTTTTCTGAAACTTTATTTGTGGGATATTAGCTGATTTAAAGTATAATTAATCTGATTTGAAAAAATATTATTTACTTTAAAATAACAGAGAAATGGATTTTTAAAACAAACAGTAGTGTGATTAAATGCTTGTCAACACCTTGTAAATCATTTGATGAGATGTTGGGACCTTTTATTATTGTTCTAAGGAGACCTTATTTGTTAAAACATAATTTAAGAAAATGATGGGTGGACGTTTTTTTTATATAATTTTCAAGTATGCAGTAATCTAAAAAATGTTGGAAAATATTCTTTGTAATCTAATTTGAGGAATGTTGAATTTAAATTTACTATAGTCATCGCTCTTATCGTCTGACTATGTTGTGTATGGTCACCATACTTTCAAATGGGCAGTTACGTATACATAAAAAAATAAAAAATATTGGGGGGTAAACAATTTTTATTGAGTTTTTCAATTTTTGATTCATAGTTTTATTGCATTTTTTATTTTACAATTTGGAGCAGATTTTTGGGAAATGATTAGTAGTTTGAAAAAAAGAAAACTGAAGATTTACATTATCAAAGGAGTCCTGCTTTTAACTAATAAAACAAATTTTGGGACTGAAATTTAATTTCTCAAAATTTCATGAAATTAAGTAAGTGGGGTTGGGTAACATATATAAAAAAAAAAAATTTTTTACCAAGATTTTCGAAAAAAAAAAAAAGTTCAAAAATAATATCATTCATTTGTGAAGAAGTCCTGAAAGTTTCATTAAAATCTGACAATAATTTGATTTTGCAAGTATTTCCAAATCAATGTGATTTTCACTGGAAAAAAGTGCAAAACACTAATCATAATTAGTACATCAACCAGGACATAAAAAACCAAGATTTTTAACCAAAATTTTGCACCCTTTAAAAAAATAATTAAAAAATACTTTGGTCTTTCCTTTTATTAATAAACATTTTGATAATAAAACTTTGTTTTTATTAAGTTTGGGGCCCTTTTTTTCATCATGCTATGCTGTTTTTCAGCAAAAAATTGGAGATATCCATATTTAGGATACTATAAAATTAGTATTTTATGTGAATACTACCTTATAAAATTTGAGATGCAGTGGCGGGGGTTTCTGTATTATAGATTTGGAAGGGTTGCTTGTATTGTAAATTTGGTAGGGGAGGGTCACATGAGACACTTGCACTGGCTCTTTAAATGGGTATTTGTTCTCAGCTTTGCTCAGTCATGCATCATCTGTCATATGGATCAATGAAAGGACTGTACTTAAATTATAAATAGCGGTGAGTAAAGTATATACATCATGAGTGCAATGTCTATAATGTAATATGGTAGCCAGGAAGATACACTGTAACAGGATTGAACCACCAAGCAACTAGCTTAGAACACAATGTCAAGTGGGTCCTAAATAATTTTATCTGCTTCTAAAGTGTTTTGCATTTTTTAGAATCAGCAATAAAGTCTGAAATGGAATCTTTGGTGGAAGAGAGGAGGCCACTTAACCAAAAGAAAGGGAATATAATGAATAAAAATTTTGGGGAACTGGAGATTTCTGTTCACAGGCCTATATAAGCAGTACAGACTTTATACTAGTTCTGACACAGCCAGTTGGTGGAGTATAGGCTGCCTTTTAGAGGTAGTTCTGAGGTTGTCCATTAGAGAGTGTTCTGATACAACCTGCTAGAGTTGCCAGCTGATGTAGAGAAGGGTACAGAGCTAGTAGAAGAGAATAAGTGTTCATGCTGGTTGAAAGGAAAAGATGATCCATTAGTTTGTCATGACAGAAGTAGCAGAACACATCACAAATGGCACCAACCTACATACTCATCAGACTGTGCAACTGAATCTCTGAATAAAAAAACTCAAATGTATTGAAAACAAGATTTATGTCTTCATTTCTTCTTATGGCATTAACTTCACCTTTTGTTTCTCTTGTCAATGTATAATGGTCTTTCCCAGGTTTTGTGCACACTGACACAAACAAGCATAGGAGATGAAGTGGAAAGAGTATGTCTGCTGTTAGGAAAGTTGGTTCAATGTGTCGTACTAGACAATTTTTCTCTCCAGAATCTATATCTTATATATTTATAAGCCTACCATTTGCTGTGACTTTGAATATTACTGCAAGATCTGATCTGGTGCTTCTGCTATATATTTAGAGATTCTTGATAAAATATAAAGAAGAATCTGCAATATTATTGGTACTGGCCTGGCATCTTAGCTTCAATCACTTTCACATTGCTGTAATGTAGCTTTCCTTTTCTATAAGTACTTTCATGCTAATTGTTCTGATGAACTTTCCTACATTGCACCTAGATTTTATGAATTTATGCGCAGTACTATATTGGTGGCTAGGTCTCATCATTTTGTCTGCTCGGTGAAAAGCTGAGAGAGGAACCTGTTCTATGTTTATATTTTTGTGTGTTTTTCCTGAAAGAAAGCTAGGAAGAAAAAAAGAATGAGAAACTCACTGCTTTGTGTTTGAAAATGACGTCACCTGACAAATGATAAGCACTAAGGAGTCCACCAAGAACACGAATGGTTACTTCAAACAAATTCACATCCTGATTGATGTCAAGCCTCATATGTTTTTCAACCCAGTCACGAGCCTCAGAAAACTCTAAAGAAAATATCATTAAATTTAAAATATAAATGATTCAAAGAAAATGTTTCAAAGATTTAATTCACATGCAAAATAATTAGGAAAGAAAAAAGGTTTCTTTACACAGAAGAAGGTCAATGTTTCAACTCCTAACAGAACCTGTAATATACAAAGAATTTCAACTTAAACATGTATATTTTGAAAGAGAAACTGAAGCCACTGAAAAAAAAAAATAATCCTATTAATTTTCTGACTCCTATTTCTTGGCTTTTTTTTGTTGCTGCACTTAATAAAATAAAAAAAAACAAAAACAATTTAAGCAACATGGCTGTTTTTCAAAAATGAATAACAATACTTTAAGAAATTCAGAAAGCTTCAGACAATTACATCTAATATTCCCAGTGTAAACAAACAATATGGCTTGGAAGGAAAAAATTTAGGGAAAATAAGCTATAATAGTGGCTAATTGGAATATTAACTGGTTGAGTTTTCATAACCTAAATGTTAAAGTTCTGTTATAGTAAGATAAGTTCCCAAGGACAAGAGAAACTGGTTTAAATCTTGTTGGGAACTTCTTTATTTCTCATTCATGTTGCTTGCTTAATCATTATAGATTACTAATTTTTTTATTTTTATTTTTTTTTTATAAATCAGAACTTTTTTTTGCATTTATTTACATCAGATGTCCGTAACTTATTAACTCAGTTGTTTCATGATAAGTATGGTTGACCAAAGGACAGCCTGATATTATCCACAGTAGCAAAAATGGTTAACACAAAACAATTTACCTTGTAAAAAGCTCCCACCATGACTGTCTTACCTTCTTTCAATCCCATGATGTACATGGTGTCCAGGGAGTCTACGAGGGTCAGACCAATACCAAACCATTCTTGGTAAGTCCGACCAATTGGTTTTAATTCATCATGACCCCAGGCAAATTGCTTATAAGCTTTCCAAGCATGCATGAAGGCATTCACCACAGCCAATTGCTTCTTGTTCTGTATTCCAGCTTCTGTAAACAGGAGAGAAAAAAAAAGAAAAAATAGAGAGAGAAATACAAAGTGGGGCAGAAATACCTCCCACATAATGGTAAGACATTAGTTCCAGTACATCCATGTCTACAATCTCTGAATATTTTAATCAGTAATGTGCTTTAGCCTACCATGAGGGTATATTCTGCCTGTTGAGCCGTCTGCATTCAGATTTTCATCTGAAAGTCCTCTAGACCATTTTCTTTATGCAAACAAAAAGAATGGTTGTTAGGTCTCAATATGATTGGCATGTAAGACAAGTATACCTGTTAATATGTTATTAATATACTAGAAATACCTGTGAAAATTTTATGGTTTTCCTATTTGAATTTTCTGATGAATCTTAATTCTTACATTAATGAGCAAATAAGATCATAGAGATTTCTACAAAATGAAAATACCCTTGAAAATTCCCCTATTGCAGGGTTAAATATTTGAGCTTAACAATTTTAATATGAATACTGGTCATTATTTTAAAGAAATAAGGGGGTACAAATGATATCTTTCCTGTCTTTCCATGCGATCAAAACAGAATAGCCCATTATTTAGTTGGTATTGGAATGGAGGGACAAGCAAAATCATGAGATGTGTCTTGCATATCCTCAACCCTGCCTTTTTTTTAGTTGTTGTGCACAGCTATTTTAATTTCATCAAGCTCTGATGAGGGAGGAACAAGAACCAGTCAACTTTGTCTAATTTTTTCTTTTTCTCAAATAGAGAACAATTTTTGAAAGTGCCATTTTTATTTATATATATATATATATATATATATATATATATATATATATATATTTATTTCTGTCTGTTTTCCTCTGTTTGTTTAATAAATGTCTGTTTTATACATTATAAATGTATAAAGAAATAAATGTCTGTTTCTTATACATACTAATACCCTTGGGAAAGTTAAGAAATCAAATCTTTTTCCCCAGCTATGGGTAAATAGGGCAGACTGGGTTCTATAGCCTTGCGTGGCAACCAGTCTAAGAGAAGGAAAACTCTGAATTCAAAACTGTATGTAGCTATGGTGAAGCACATACTATGCAGCTAAGGAAAAGAGTGTTCATATTGACTATGATCTTGACTACAGTCAACTCTTTTCTGTTTTTTTATAGTATTAATCTAAATTATTTTGCACTTTTTCCATGTGTAACATAACAGTTTAAGTATGCTAATTTCTTTATAAAAACTAATAATCTTAAACATTTTTGGTAATTCAATAAGGTATTAAAAAAATTAGTACTATACTTAAAATCTTTGAATGTCATATTAAAAGTAAGAAAATGGTAAAAAAAAAAATGTTATCAGCATAACAAATTTGGCAGTCCTCATCACAAAATGTTCAATTTGGCTAATGTGATAACACAATGTAACTATTAGTTGGAGATAATTTCTGGTAGTACAATTTGTCCACATACTTGAAAGGAAATCTGAGATAATTGTGGAAAAGAAAAAGGAAAAGCAAACAAACCTTTGAAAATCTTTTCAAATAAAAGCTGCTCTTTAGCTGGGTTGTCAAACTACCAAAGGAAATAGAAATAAAATTAAAATTAATTTGTGACCATTGTAAATACATTTCTATGTCATTATATACAAATATATCATTTCCTTATTAAGATCTAATTACTTAATTGCCGCCTTCAGCAGTCTCTGCTCAATGTCAACATCTATTTAAAGAATTTGCATTATAATTATTTGCAAATATTATTTTTAATCATTTCACATCAACAAGGCAATAAACCCACTAAGATGCAAAATCTTACCAAGTGTTAGAGAATATGAGATAAAAAACACTATTAAAGAGAAAGGACAGTAAAAGAACAAAAATTAAGAAGACAGAAGATAACAATTGGCATTGCATTTAAATTGTTGAAGGTCAAAGTTGACTGAGAAGCAAGAAGCCAGAAAAGAGTTCCACAAACAAGAAGTGCAATAGAAGAAACTGTTGGCATAAAACTTATGGTTACATCTAGCCATTTCAATTGTAAAAGACCTTGGTATCAATTTAGTATTGTGTTTAAATTCATAATGTCTAGGTACTTTAGTAAAAAGTTCATCAAAACTAACCATGAAAGTATTTATAGAAAAGGCAGAAGGAAGCTATGTTATGGCAGTGGGAAAGTGACTGAAGCCAAGATGCCAGGTCAGTACCAATAACATTGTAGATTCTTATTTGAATTTTATCAAAGATCTCTAAATATATAGAAGAAGCCCAATACCAAATGTGGCAGAAATATTCAATGCAAGAATGAATGGTAGATACATATGTTAGAGATTCTGGTGAGAAAAGCTGACTTGCACAGCACATTGAACCAACTTTACTAGTAGCAGACCTAACAAGTGATTCAGTATAATCTTTCCACTTCATATCAGTGAAAAACAAATCCAAGAAGGTGCAATGAGTCACTCTCTAAGAGGTTAGAATGAGCCTGATGATAGAAGGCATATTTTGTTATTTTTGTTCAAATAGTTTTGACTATCGCAGTCATTATCAAGAACTGACTGATAATTGAAAATACTTGAAAATAGCAGAACATGAACTCCAGACAGTTTATCCACAACTTCAAGCACAATACTTAACACCTTATTCGAAAATTGAAAGACTGGCCAGCTCCTGCCTATATATAGCAGCTGTACTCCATTTTCAGCCTGATCTGGATCTCGTAAAGGTAGAGGATAACAGGAGGAGTCAGGTACTTGTTGTAACGTCATAGAGAACTGATCATTTTCCCAACATCTTTAGCAATGGCTCATATGTACAAGTTCCAACTGAAGTCTGGACTGAGCTTAAGTCCCAAGAGGAGCTCAAGGCACAGGGTCACCTTGAGGGACCATCTGTTCATAGTGATTGGTGAAAGTTTTGGATCTGATTGGTGATGATGGGATGTTATTAGTTTGGTTTTCAAGGCATTGAATGTGACTAGTGATCTTTTCCCTCATGAGGTTAGAGGAAAGATCAGCTGCCAAACTCTGGTCATTTAGGGTGTTGGAGGTGCACCCAATAAGGTCTAATGTATTATCTTGATGGGTGGTAATAGCTAGGTTTCAAATTATTCTAGAGGCTATTGAGTAGAAATAATTGTGGATCCAAATACAGTTTTTAATAATTTTTTACTCATTATTGATTAATTATTGGGTGTTGATTATTGTTATATTTACTTGTGTTTATTTGTAGTTTGTTAATTTGTTTATTATTTACTTAATTTGTTAATTTAGATTTTTTGTAAAATATATAAAGGGAAAAAAATGTCACAAAGGGGAAATGTTTTCATGTTATGCATTTTTTTCAGATAAGAAAAGAACTCCTGAACTTGTTGGTGAGTCAACACAGAATCCTATATCAAATGCCTTGAGGAGGTAGTACTGCTCTGGGTCAAGTAGAAGGCAACAGGACTCTGCACCATACCACACAATCAAGAGAACCCAATCATAACTGTCAGACAATTTCTGTAACCATATTACCCCTTACATCTGGCCACCTAACTCTCGAAACTGCAACCCCCTTGATTATTATGTATGGGGTGCAGTTGAGCAAGAGACCAACAAAACTCTTTGTACCACCAAAAATGAACTGAAGGCAAGGATTATGGCAGCATTCACCAACTTAAACAAGGAGACCATACAGAGGAGTTACAGGAGATTCTGAAGTCATCTGGAGGATTGTGGTTGAAGCCAATGGCGATTTTATTGAACAAATTTACTCTATAGTATTTAAGGATATTTTTGTGTAATTTTAGTAAATATATGTTAAAATGAGATGTTATTTTCATTTTTGCATAATTTAGACCACAATTTGTCTATTGTATCCTGCATATGCACACACACACATGTAGATACATGAGTAAGCCCACAACCTAATAATGGTAAAACATTTACTTGATGCAAGAAATATTTATTCTTCAGCATAATTTCCTTCTTTGTCAATGCACTTAATTCAGTGGTGAATGTTAATCACATATACAGTAAAAGTTTAAGATCAAGATTCAACTAATAGCTGTGTGTCAGGCTATACCTTCATTTATTCAACTGTGTAAGTTTCCAACAGAAAGGGTTCAGAGAACTTTTGTACATACTTTTTGTTAAATATTCTTCCTCAGATCAGCAAATAATCTAATATGGCCACCACCTTTTATAGCCACCTGGAACCACTGTGCATTTCAAACTATTTACATCATAATACTTCTCGCTTTCTCTTAATTTTTCCATTTCACTATACTCTAGATCAGTCCCTATTAATAGTGGCCTGTAACTGTTTGGGGGATGATCCTTTCTCCGTAAAGGTAGTCTGTGAGTTGTTAAAAAGTATTCATCCAAGAACGTTTTTACAGAACTATAAGATGAATCTTTAGTCTTGTGTCTTTCGCACATTTAGATGAGTATAGAGTGTCTTTTTCTATCTCTCATACAATCATTATTTCTGGTAGAAGGATGGGAAACTTGCAGATGATAAATAAAGGTCAAATTGTGAATTGTTGTCTCTGCACATTAAAATAATACCATTGTCCCAGCAGATAACATTGATTTGATACTTGAATTTTTCTAGTCTGCCAGTAAATAAGATAATGTTGACCATTCTCATCTTTTAAAGATATTAAAGTCCCCTGAGAAGCTTCATCAGGATGATTAGCATCTGAATAACTTTCAAGCAAATATAATTCAATTGACTGCAGTTAAGAGACTTGTGTCTCCCTACTTTTGTAACACACTGCTCTCTACATACTTCAAAACACTTGATGTCAGTGTTAATAAACAGTGTTTACTTAATTATGCTTTCTCATTGTCCATCCTTTCTTGATTTTTCTTTTTATATGTGAATGTCACACAATGTATTATCCCAAGAACAGATCCTAATAAATATGTCCATCTCTAAAATAATTGTATCATGACCTAAGTGCCAATATGTTTTCTTTTATTTCCATAGATAACCATTGAAAAACTCAAGTGGAGGTCATAAAACATAAAATGAAACAAAAAGAAAAGAAATAGATATCTTGTTCAATTTTATTGTCCCATAAGTATGCAGCCTTGATAGCCATGTTGTGATAAATCCACTGATTGGATAAAAGCGAGGGGAAATGTATGGCAAAATGGTTATTTAAATGTGTACATGAATCTTTATATAAAGTGGCTATGTTCTTCCTCAAACCCAAAATCTATTTGTCTAAATTTAGTAATAAACTTTGTTATTCATTATCTCTTCAAGTAACAAGCCATCTCAGTTATCTTTTAATCATTTCACCCCAAGCAAAGCAATAAAACCACTAAAATACAAGGGGTTACTAAGAAAGAGAGAGAGTGAGAATATGAGAAAAAAAAAAAACATTACTAAGGAGAGCAAACAATAAAACAACAGGAATTAAGAAGACAAAAGATTACATAGACATTGCATTTAAATTTTTGAAGTTCCAAAGGAAGGAGCCAGAAGAGAATTCTAAAAGCGAGAACTGTAAGAAAAGAAAATGTTAGCATAGAACAGTTACATCTAGCCATTTTGACTGTAAAGTGATGAGACCTTGTCACCAATCTAGTACTGTGCTTAAATTCATAAAGTCTAGGTACCAAAGAGAAAAGCAATATTTGTTTTGTACAGAAAATGTGGTACATGGCCATGTGGGGATGGGGAAGGTTGGTCTTCAACTGTCCTATATTTAACTTAGTTAGCCACAATCACTGACCCAAACAAACTACAATATTCCTTACACTAAAACACATTCTTACCACAGTCACCCTAATACCACAATGTCTTTATGAAGTGCTAATTAGTACCAAGGCACAGTGAAGCTACGTTACATTGCTGGAAATGTAACTGAAGCAGAGATGCCAAGGTGGGAGCAATAACATTGCATATTTTTCTTTGTATTTTGTCAAGAATCTCTAAATACATAAAAGCACTGGACCAGATGTAGTAGAAACATTCAATGCATGGATGAATGGTAGACTTATAAATGTGTAGAGTAGATTCAGTTTCATTATATCCATCATTATCCTTTTAACTTCTCTTTCCTTTGTTGCCATAATTTCCTCATTATTAAAAATCACAATCATCTCTGAAGTGTCAAGCACAACTGACCAATGACTAACCAGTACTACCAATGGATACATATTCAATATCACTGTTTATCCTATTCAATAAAAAGGAGAAGAAAAAGAAGAGTAGAGAAGAGAAAAGAAACAGCAGCCAAAATAAAATAAATAAAAATTATTTAGAGAATCAGCTGACTGGTTATAGCTTCTCTCTCATCAGGGCTCGATTGATGAATTAAAAATACTGTGCACACTGACTACAAAAAGTTTATCGGGATAGCTGGTAGAGAGAGGATAAGAAGTGCACAAATATTAATAATATTAGCTATATAATCATCACATTTTGCTTTCCCAACTTGACTGTATGCAGCCAGAAATATCAGAATTTATCCTTTGAAAAACATTTGTTGATTGTCACTTTATTTTTCCCTTCACAGCAAAATCACAATGATTGCCTTTTATTTCTTCAGGGGATAAAGCTACTAAGATGTAAGAGGTTACTAAGAATGAAAGAATTGGAGAAAAACATTAAGGAGAGAGGACAATAAAAAGACAGAAGATGATTGATGTTGCATTTAAATCTTTGAAGATCATAATTAACAGGAAAGCAAGAAGCTAGAAGAGAGTTCCACAAGCGAGAAGTGCAAGAGAAGGAACTATTAGCATAGAACTTACAGTTACAACTAGCAAATTCAACAGTAAAATGATGAGAAATAAATGACTTGTGAGAAATATTTTTTTCTGGGGAGGACCAAAAATCTTTCTCCAATGTGAAAAAAAGAAAAAAAAAAGAAAATTTAATAATAGTAGAAGTCAGTTATTAATCACAGTTGCTGCACAAAAATGAGGTGCCAAATATAAAATGAATTTGACAAATCACTGACATTTTGGCTTTGAATGATTCAGCTAGGGGTGGGGTACACTACCTGCATGGGAATACAGACAACATCACCCATCAATAGAGGATTTACTTTAAGTCCAAAAATACAGGTTCAACTTTGATCTCAGATGTTAATTTTTGCTGAAAGAGTCCATTTTGATAAGAATGGCGAAGCTCGGGCTATTGCTTTGGATATTTCAAAGGCTTTTGACAGGGTTTGACATACATGGTATTTTTCACAAGTTGAAAGGTTACGGTATTTCTGGATAATTTTTTTAAGTGATTCAGTCTTATTAAATTGCAAAATGAAAGTTATCTTGAATGGCCACTCTTCTAGATCTTTTTGCATAAATGCAAATGTTCCCCAGGGTTCTATCCTTGGATCTATGTTCTAATTTTCATAAATGACCTTCCTGATGTTATCATTTCCCGACTTCGTATTTATACTGATAACCCAACTATTTACTCCTGTCTTAATAGTAAATCAGATCGGTTCAATAAATCAAATTGGCAGCTGATCTTAAAAATGACCTATAATCTGTTGTTAAATAGAGTAAGGAATTGCTTGTTAATTTTAATGCCTAAAAAACAAAACTGATCTCTTTTAATCATCTGAGAGAACCCTTTTTACCTTCCATCAGCATGGCTAATGCTAGCAAACAGGAGAAAAATTCGCTTGAGGATGAAATGGAACTAATGTCTTTAATTACAAGATTAAATTCAGGGCTTTTAGCTTCCATCTTTGAAACATGGTTAGAACTGTGTAGCAAAAAAAAAACATATTTTAAATCAATTAATTTATAATATATATATGAGAGAGAGAGAGACTGGACCCTCTCATCATTTTCAACATATGAGGGTATAGTAACTCAGTATCTTAGAAATGAACAGAGACTACTCCCACATATAATTTGACTATAGTGTCAAAGTCTTGTGCAGAACCAACTATACTTTTTAGAAAAGCTGAATACAGAGAACTGGTGCACATAGTGTGCCATAAGGTCCTCAAACAATCCTCATCAGGCTTTGAGCCCAAAGTTGTCCTTCTAGACTGATTGCCACCAAATCTGTCCATAGCTGGGGAGTGAAGAGATGGTTTCATACCTTTCCCAAGAGTATTTGTATGCATGCGAGTGTAATGAACTCAACTGGATTTTGAGCTCTCTCTTCAATTCCTCAATCTGATCTGCTATTAGTCCATTGTGTCTCCATCTCTTCATCACACACACACACACGTATATTTTTATTATTTCAAATATTATTTTTAATGATTACCCATATGAGTAGATGCTCTATTTTATTTTAAGCTGTATTTATTTTGTCTACCAGCCTCAAATACAGGTATCAACTAAAAATAATATAAATGTCAGGTAAAAAAAAAATCCATTACTACTTTAGAAATTATATATATATATATATATATATATATATATATATATATATATAAGGGTGTGGTGGGTTCTGAAAGGTTCTTGGCTCGATTCACTTTCCAAAATCTGACCAAATATCAGATTTCTTTGGAGGAAGGCCTTGGTTGGTCAGAGAACTTTTTAGTAACAGCTTGTATGCATTTGTGTATATCTATTGATCTAGAAACACACACACACTGATTATAAAAAGAATAAGAAAATAAGAAAGAAAATCAAAACAGACTTTTTTCTATTAAAAAAGAAAGTTTGTAGCAATCAAATTTCTTTAGACTTCTTATGTGTTTTTGATATATTTCTTTTTCAAATTTGACCTTGATGTGAATTTCTTGTTTATCTTTTTTGTGTTTAAGATACCAGCCAGTCAAGATAAAAATTTTGAAATTTCAAAATGTAGCTATTGGGATTTCAATCTGATGATTACTGTATACATCCTTATCAAAGCGGTATGATACGTCATTAGTTATTTTCACTTATATAAAAAATTATTAATGTCTACCACAAAATCCAATATTAATCATAAAAATAAAAATCTGGTATTAATTATAGGTTTTTATATATATATATATATATATATATATATATATAGATATCACCTGTTTTATAGATTTCTACCTATAACTTATTAATGTCCATCGTACCACTTACTTTTGTGATGGTGACTATTAATAGATTAAGTTCCTCCTTAAAATGACTGGCTGAAAAGTATGAGGAGTTAATTTGTTTATTGCATAAAAGCGTTTATGATGAGAAAAGGATATTTGTCAGATGAACACTTAAATGGGTCAAGAAACAGTGTAAATTCCTTATATAATTCTTAGATGTAGGAAGAGAGATAATATTTAAAAGTTTTAGAGGGAAAAAATCGTGTTTTATTGTTGGCTTTTTGCTAACCAATAGGCAAAGCTGATCATAATTTCTCTGTTGCTTGGGATTATTGATTTCATTCATCATTAATTTTTGCCAATATTTCCGGGGTGGGGGTACACACAGGTCATGTAAGGGATATTTGCCAGAAAGTGGAATTGTTGAGCCAAGTTTAAATTGTGGCATTCACTTTTGCATTAATGCCAAGGGCATTAAGAGAAGGTCTCTTCTCACCACCACAGCTATGGGCTTAAATAGCAGGGGTAATTAGGCTTTCTAGCCTTGAGTGGTAACCAGTTTAAGAGAAGGAAAATTCTGAACCATAGAAAACAATGAGAAACCACTACTATTTTTTTTCAAGAATGAATGATAATTCACAGATAATAAACAAACATCTGTGGAGAGTCATCATCGTCTGTCATTCATATATATATATATATATATATATATATATATATATATATATATATATATATATATATATAAATATAAAATGAAATTGCTTTAAGTAAAAATTTTAAAATAAAATTTATTTTCTTGTTTATCACTTTTACTAGCAAATGAATTTTATGTCAAGCCAGTAAAAAATAAAATTTTTGTACCAGCTTTAAAAGTCCTAGCATAGTATTTTCATTTCTTTTGTTTAATATTGGCCACTTAGCCTTGGCTGGCAACCAGTCTAATAAAAAGAAAACTGAATGCCAAATTGTAGAGAAGATGACAAAAAATCCAATATCTTTGAAATTCAGTTTATTCTTAAACCCTCTGTTAGCATTGTAGGGCATTGTCACACCATTAGTAATATGGAGTTTTCAAACATCTCATTTAAAATATCATTTAGTTCTTGATTCTTTTTTGTTATATATTATCTTAAGTGTTTTCCCATTTTGTTTACATAGAAAAAAATGGTTTTACTTAGAAAAATTGAATCAAAAAGACAATGTGAAAAAATGAATTTGTAAGTTTCAAAAGTTCAGATATACATAAAAAGGTTTCATTGTTTTTTTTTTATTATGATCTTTTATAACAAATCTGACTCCTGTTCAATTGTTTTACACATTCCAAACAATCAGTAGGTTTCATTTTATTTTCACAGTGATCAATTGGATTCCTTATTTACCACCCCCCATATCAAAAAATGAACAAAATGCTTACTGAGATCTTTGCATACATTTCTACCACAATAATTACAGTCTTTACTTTATAGTCATGCACTTGTAATTCACACAAATATTATGAATAAAACCAGAAACTCTTTCTAGTCACTTGACTAACCATGAAAATTTGACTTTCTATTAAGGAAAAAATTGGAAAAAGTAGTTAATAAAATATGTAAAACTGTAGATATGAAAAAGGTTACAAAAAAAGACTTTCCCTTTTTTATCATTTTTTTTCTGGTTAGAAACATTCAAGATGGAGAGAATGCAATTTTTGACCTTAAAAAAAACCCACAAAAAACCAACATACCGTATGGCCAGGTTGTAATTGTAGGTTCAGCTGCTGCTCTTCCTCTTTTTTGCCTGCTAAGGAGTCTTGCGCTTTCTTTTCAGCAAGAATAAAATGCAGAGATAATAAAAGGTTTATTGAAAGTGAAATAAGACAAACTGTTTTCTTATCTCTTTTATTGGAAAAATATGCATAAAACTCAAATATACACAAATTTCAGTTGATCAATGTCAATAGCCCAATGATAAAAAAAAAAAATGTATTTATTTTACACATTTTTCAACATAATCTAATTTCCTTGTTAATGCATGCTTGTGCATATGTATCCCAAATGTAATGAAAATTGTTAATATATTTTTTCTGATTTTCTTTGTAATTAAAATTTATTTCCCTTTATATAAATTTCATTTGAAAAAAATAAAATAAGTTAAATATAAATAATATCAAATTTTTAAACTGTTTTGTGATTTGTAAGGGACACACAGATGCATACACATATATAATTGTTTTTTTTATATCATTTCACTCTGAGCAAGCCAATAAAGTTCAGGTACCAAAGAGGAAAGCTCATCAGACTAATTGCCATGAAAATATTCATAGAAAAGGCACAGGAAGCTACTTTAAAGCAGTAAGAAAGTGAATGAAGTCAAAATGTCAGGTTAGGACCAATAACATTGCAAATTCTCTGTATTTTATCAAGAAATATTCACTATGAAATCTGAAGATTGAATATACAACAAATTTCAAAAGCAAATAATTGTTTCTATATTTAGTGAAAATCCTCTGCAATAGTACTTGTCTTTCTGAGTACTTAGAGCCTTTGTCAATAGCCAACCTTGCTAGAACTTGCTCATTTTCCAGAAATTCTCCCTTGTTCAGCAAACACCACAAGGTGTTTATTCTCTTGGAACATCAACTTGGTTCAAGAATTTATGTGATATCTGCAGATTTTGGTCTCAAAAAGTTTCAGGCTTAATTTGCACAATGATAAACTAGTGCCTATGCTACACAGGAGTGCCTTTTCCAGTCAGGTGAGTTCAGATTTAAATATAAATAAAAGAAAAAAAAAACTGATTTTGACATTAAATAACACAAGGGATGACATGTTGCAAAACCAATCAACACAACCCAAAAATTACATGCAATATGCACTTGGAAAACATTGATAAAAATAACAATGATAAAGATATTTAATAAAAGATTATTATTATTATTATTATGAATATTAGCAAAATTTCTTTTCAGAATTTCAGAAAAGACTAAGAAAGTTGGAGAATCCTTTGGCTGAAACATTGGGATTAAATAAAAATAATAATAAAGATACTTGTTCAAATAATTCATTTGTGTAAATTAAACCTTTGGCACATGTTTTAGTTTTTTTTTTTGTCTGGGGAGTTCAGCATCCTGTGTCAGTAAAGGCATCTTTTCTTACCTGCACATCTGATAGTTCCTTCTTTGCTTTCTGCTGCTGTTCCAGCTCATCAAGCAGTTTTGAGCGTAGCATCTTGCTCTGTGTGCGCAAAAGAGATGTCTTCTTCTTGATTAGTTCCGACATTTCTCGCTTCTTCACCCATTCCAATTGCATAACAGGGATGATATAGAGCATGGACAACAAGCCAAGCAACAAAATCAACAGGATCACACTCCGTTGCATTCGAGATAAACGCTTCCATACCTGGAGAAAAATACAAACAAAAAAAAAAAAAAAAAAATGACATATTACAATTTGAAGAATTTCTCAATTGTCTGTTATACAAAAAAGGTGTAGCAATGAAAGTCACTAGTCTCGTAGGGCAAAACAATCACATGTATTGTGTATTCTCTGCTGAAAGTAAAACATCAGCATTTCAAGCTCACTGATAAAGAAATCAGCAGTATATACCTACCATGGTCAGATAATCCGACTGATGGCAGGCGTCTCAGGTGCCTATTGTGTTGACAGGCAATTTGGTGACATAGTGGTTATGTGTTCAATCTCTGGGTCAGGTAGTATGTACTTGCACTCAGTGGAAACAGTTGAGCAATAACTGAACAATACCAAATAAAAATAAGAACTAGATGAAATATCCCTAGACACAAGCAGTTGAATGAGAACAGTCTACCCCTGTAGATTAAATAAAAGGTTCAGTTCAGAATTTCCTGTAGGTTACCTAGATCACTATACACCTGAGGAAGGCTGGAGGACAAAACGGCTGAAATGTTGAGCTAACAACAACAAAGATGAGGACAATAGTCCAAACATAAATATTGTAAGTAATGATAATGCCTCATCCTAAAAATTAAGACATAAACAAATCATCTGTATTAAAGGTGTAGTAATAAAAGTCACTAGTCTTGTACAACAAAACTGTCATATGTATAAGCAAAAATCCGAGATGTGTTTCAAGCTCGTTTATAAAGAAATTGGTCATGAAAGCTTATGCAAATTTGTTATTTGACCAAAGGCGAGCATCTTGGGTGTCCATATAAATCACCAGTGTTGAAGTGACTTGCATTAGTTCCAAATGTTAGTGGCTGTTTGGAGACCATTTGTGACCTAGCACAAATTTGTCCAATTATAAAAGGGTTAAATAACCATAGTATTATCTTTACTAATAGCCTTGTGCAGAATTATATCATCCCCCCATTCTCTACCCATGTAAATGTCTGACAATCTCAATCAATGTCAGTCTTTCATCTACAGAAATGTATTCATAATGCCATTGGTTTGTTTTCATTCTTTAAATTTATTAGTATCACTATTGTACAAATTGAAGACAAATAAATACAAACAAATCATTTGTATTAAATAAAATTTATTATTGACGATGACATTAATGGTAATGGGAATGACATTAATAGTAATGGTGATATTTGGGCTGATGGCAACAGCCCTTAAAATATAATAAATAATTGGGAATGGCAAAATAAGCAACAACAGTTAAAAGTTGTTAAATTGCTGTTGTGAGAAAGCAATGCTTCTGGAAAGGTAAAAAACTTCCCAAGGAATGACATTTTCAATGAAGGCTGACAAAAATGAGTGAATGTTTTATTTTCTGAAAAGATTATGTCATGTTAGTTAATTTAATGACATCATCTCTTCTGGATAATTCAATGTCAGAAACTTCAATGTCTTATCAAAAATCTCAACAAAAAAAAATTAACAGAATAGTAGAAACATTTCCAGTTTACACTCAAGTCAAAAAGGTAGATATTGATCTAGTTTATAAAAGAGTCTGTAAGCATATATCTGGAAGATGGCCCCTTTTGGGAGGTGGTAACCTCTCTGCAGCAGATGTAATTGATATATTCTAAACTCTGCCAACTGGATGGTTTTTGATTGATTGATTTGTTTTCTACGTCTAACCCTTAAATCCAGAAAATATTTTTTAGATTGTAAGAATTTCTTTGTTTGGGAGGGGGTGGGTGTAGATAATAATAATTTAATGATACAAGTCTTACTAATTAACCCATACATAGAGAGAAAAGAGGTGAAGTTATACCATTCTCAAGGTTATTTGTAATTAATTCAACTGGAATTGGAACTGTTCTTCAATTAACAATTCCGAGCCATTATCCATTACACCACTTGCACACCCAAGCTTACAGCATCTGGTATTTCCAAGCAGTCATCCATCTAGCTACTGATCAGGCTTAATATTGCTTAAATTCAGTGATCATACAGGAACTGATGTTTCAAGGTGATATGGCTGTAAGTCCCACTTTGAAATTTCATTTACTATCCCTGCCCCCTCAATAGGAGTAGATATGTTTATCTATTGTCCACTTCACATTCTTCCCCAGTTTTTTGAACAGGAGTAGAAGTTTATCTCTTGTTCCTGTTTAGGATTGAATTTACTGTTCCTTCTAAAGTCTTTTCATTCTCTTTCACTCCCAGTAGCAATTTGCATCTTAGTGATATTATCACCTTGCTTGGGGTGAAATGATTATGGGAGATTGCTTTAGAATTGAAAACAATTATATACTTGCTTTTAAAAACATAAAATATTTTCCCAACCATCAAAGAAAAAACTTCTTACAGCTAAAAAATAAACAAGACAAAAATCAAAACTGGTTTCTTTTTGGTAGAGATGATTCAATGTGAATCAATTTCAAACTTAGAAAAAGTAAATATGAATAGATCAAAATCAATAGGCAACACAGGACTATAGCCTAAAAGTAACAGCTGTAGTGTGCAATGCCATAGAAACAGTTACTGGGATCTACTGAAAAGTTCACAGGACAGCCCATGTCCCAAAATCAAAGCAAATAATCAAACAAGAATTTTTTTCTTTTGATAATAGTGATAGAGTAGTGACCAGCTTGCAATGTTGTGTCTGTGGGAAAGAGACTGCAGAGTGGAAAATAAGTTTTACCTCAGAAGATAGTGTAAATGACTTTGAACTCAATACTGGAAAGTGAAGACTGAGCAGCTCCAGTGATATTCCATTTTTGGTTTTCACACATACACATGATTGATTTATTTTTATGCCTTATCAACCCTTTGTAGGTTATTTAAAGCCAGAAAATATTTTTAGATTCTAAGAACTTTCTTTTTTTGAAGATAATGATAGTTTAGTAATATAAGTTTTACTAATTAATCTGTAGTTGGAGGGAGAAGAGGTGGATTCATACCTTACCCAAATGTATTAGCACATAAGTGAATAAAATGAATCCAATGGGAATTGGAACTTGGTTCTCTGATTAACAATTCCATGCCATTATTCATTACACCAACTGCACATCCAAGTTTACAGCACATGGTATTCCCAAATGGCTACCCATCTAGGTACTGACCAAGCTTGACATTGCCTAACTTTTGTGATTGTGCAGGAAACAGTGTTTCAATGTGATGTGGCTGTAAGATTCACACATGCACAAGGTTGTGTTGAAAAATTACACCTCTACTAGGTGACACAATTGATACAGTGACTGAAACATACAGAGCTGTTGAAAAGTTCTCATCTTGATCCACTTTTTTCTTTTGGAAATTCTTGTTTAAGCAGAAAACTTTTCAGCACCCACTTGTAATTGTAGTGTAGTGTTGTGTTTGGTGTATGCGGATATTTACAAACTACTTATATTTTTACTTAGCTGTTCATAAATATGGGAAAGCACCAAAAAGTAATCTAACAAATGCAAATATAAAACAGTAAATCTCTAAATTATAGTGTAAACTTCCCAGATTTTACAATTATTGAAGTTCATGAAAAACAATATATTATATTGATATTTACTAACTTGATCTTAGTATGGCACATTGTCAGAAGTGTTGAACACTTAATGTGACTCAAACTCAATAAAACTTCTAGTAATTGTGTCAATGAGTATATAGAGTGCTATATTAAGATTCTGTTTGGAAAGGATATTATAACAATTGAAAACTTATACTGGGAGCAAACTACCTGCATACTGATAGAAAATGAATTCAGTAAATACACACAAATAGAAAAAGACAAGACAAGGATGTGTTTTCTTGCCAGACTTATTTTAGCCTTTGCAGTGAATCAATCCTTAGAGAATTACAAATCATACCAGGATTCATTATTGACAGCCATAATTTTAACATTACATATGCAGATGACAATGCATTTTATAGCAGACACTCATAAGACATATTGAAGGTAAGATGGACAGAGGAAAGCAGTGCATAACTTACCTAAAAAGCTTGTGTAAATGGCTGGCAGAACAGGGATTAGGAGAGATGGCAAAAAGACAAAATTTACTAAGAGCTACAAAAAACAGGAAATCATGGAGAGCCATGTTTGCCGATATTTTGAAGAGACATGGCACATTTCTATTGGAGAAAATTATCCATGACACTTTAGTTCTTGGGCTATGATGTATAACAGAAGTGCTGATGTCAGTTAATTCTGCTAATCTCTAAGCTTGCAACTGTTCTGACTACCTTTGTCATTAACAAAATTTTTAGGAAGATTAATTTGCAAACCATACCAAATATTACCAAGAGTAATTTGCAAACCATACCAAATATAAGAAAACCTTCCAGTATCAAGCTAAATTCCCTACCTCCCATCTATTTAGAAAGAAAAAAAATAAAAGAATAGCAGTGGGAGTGGTCAACTTAGGTTAATAACTGGGTTACATTCTGGTAAAACACTTAAGTTAATTAGGTGACACATACAAATATATAAAAGAATAAAGTACAGAACATAATTGAAATGAGATCTGGCGTTTTTCCATTATTTCTGGAATTGTGTATTGATTTTGAACAAAGAATTAACATAAGGAGAAAAAATATTTCTGTGTCATGGTATTATATTTCAGACCAACCTAATAGCAAATATTAAATATTAAAGATATTAAATGTTATCAAAAGTCACTAAACCATGGAATGTTGCTGTACTGAGTATGAGGTTACAAAAGAACAGGATATTTTTTATTATTATATATAAGTTATACAAGCAAAACAAAAGCTGATTTTGTAAAATTCACATTAGTTGGGAGGAGAATTCTAATAAACTAAGTCGTTATAATAATAACAGCAACAAGAGCTTCTTCAGTTGTTACTTGTCAGAAATGGCACAAAAATTTATCTATTGGCCCTTGACTTAAAAATGGTGAGAATAGTAAAAGAAAGCATTA